TTTAAATTTAAAATCTCTAATATAAAAACTTAAAATTTTAATTATTAAAATATCTCCTATAAAACATAACTGGTGGTATATCGACCATAAATAGTAACAAATATCAACCTTCATTATTTGTTGTTTAAAACAACTAAAGGAAACAAAGACAAAAGATAGACAAATAATTAAGGTGGGGTTATAAAGAGGGCTGAGTGAGGTCAAGAGGTTTTTAAGGCGAAGTGCCTGTGCATCTCATTAGGGAGGCAATGACTTGGATAGCAGCTGTAACCACAGTACCATCTCCTCCCACCCAAGTTGCCTCTCAACAAAATCTCACCCTTCGGGAAGAGGAAAACAGAGGAAGAACCAAAATATTCCGATCACTACAAAGTTAATATATAATATCATTAATCGTTGTTAGTCGCTATCCCTTCAAGAAATGGAAAAGATGCGCAGCATGGCGAGCACCACCACCACCAAGGGCATTGCTGCCATTGTTGGCGTCGGGCCTAAGCTCGGTCGCTCAATAGCCCGCAAATTCGCCCATGAAGGCTACACAGTTGCCATACTCGCACGCGACTTGGGTACTCTCTGTTTCCTTTAGTTATTACATGATACAAAAGAAATGAACTTTTTTGGAACTGTTTCGTTTTCAGGGAGACTGTCAAGATTTGCAGACGAGATAGCGAGGGAGGAGAAGGCACAGGTTTTTGCAATCAGAATAGACTGCTCTGACTCCAGAAGCGTAAGGGAGGCATTCGAGGGGGTTCTGTCGCTGGGATTCGTAGAGGTGCTTGTGTACAATGCGTACCAGCCAGTTTCCTGGCACCCCACCAACTTCACTGACATTCGCATCGATTCCTTTGAGAAATCCCTCGCTGTATCCTCCGTCGCCGCCTTCCTCTGCGCCCAACAGGTAACAGAGTTATAAAACAGAAACACCAAAACCCTCTATATCAATTTCTGAATTTCGTTCCTGAATTGGGAATTTGATGTTTGTTGGGATTGAAACGAAAAGGTAATTCCTGGGATGGTGGAAAGAGGAAGAGGAACGATTCTCTTCACTGGCTGCTCAGGTTCGCTCAGTGGCATTGCTGGTTTCTCGGAACTATGTAATTCCCCCTAACTCAAATCTTTTGCTCATATTCATATTCTGTTACCTGTAAATGATTCACTTTTTTGAGAAGAAAATGGTGCAGGCTGTGGAAAATTTGCGCTGAGAGCATTATCGCAATGCCTGGCTAGAGAGTTTCAGCCGCTCGGCATACACGTCGCCCATGTTATCATTGACGGCGTCATTGGCCCTCCTAGGTAATTGGAAACACTTCCTTTCTCTCCCCTTTTTTTTCATGTTTATGATCTTTTGCTCGATAGTCGCACTGATAACTACAAATCACCCCATCTATAGGGTAAATTCACTCATTGATGGCGGGTATGACTGGTTGGAATCCTTCCTTTCTTTTATCTATGGATGGTTGCTGAATAATGACGAGCGTTGAATGTAAATGCAAATTCAGGGGGCCATCGACGTTAATGCAGAGAGAGGTAGTTGCTCAGCAGCGGCAGGGCGGAGGAGATGGGGCGATGATGATGATGGATCCAGACGCGTTGGCTCAGACTTACTGGCACCTGCATGTTCAAGACCGAACCGCTTGGACCCAGGAGATTGACCTCCGTCCTTCCCTCACAAGATTTTAGCTAGCTATACCTAAATGCTTGGCAATAAAAATGTTGTGTTTGGGATGTTTGCAGTGGCTCCAATGTAAAGAACCATGAAGCTAAAATTTTCATCAAGAACTATTATTTACTAGGTAAATTCATTCAAGTTTTCCTTTTTCCTTTTTGAGAAAGTCCCAAGTTTTTTTGGTACTAAACTGCACACCATGTG